AGACTGTTACATGGACAGAAAGTTTGAAAATGACTTTCTTTTGTCTTTTTCCACATATGAAGGCATCAACATTATTATTTTTTTTTCATCTTAAAGTCAGTGTTGGTGTGTCTTGATCACTTCCTTTGCTCATTTATATGCATAGGCACTCAGATTTTGGGTTCTGTTGCTTGCCCCAAAGAATTTCCTATCAATCACAATGTGAAGTTGCTATGTGGATCTGCGTAAGAAATATTTACTGACAGGCAAGTATGGAGAGTGTAACTCTAAATATATATTTTTTTAAACTGGCATTTCCAGTAAGGTGTCCTTATGTCCCTTTGAATTCGTAAATGACGTAGCAATGTTGACTCACCTCTCCTACCATGTTAAACTTGAGCAGGAGCACGCCCTAAATGCTTCAGCTTCCAGAATGTGCAGTCACGACCTTCCATACAGCAGGGCTTCTCTCCCTGCAGAGCTGCTGACCACGCCAGGCACACAGAGCGTGCTAGCAGTAGACGGTGGTGACTCTGGCTTTGTCCACTCACTGACATGTCTCATCTTCTGTCTTCAGTTCCTATGGAGACTCCGCTTTCCCGCCTTGTGGTCCTGCAGGGCTGTCATCACGTGGCCCCATGCCCCCTACTCTGAAGAGGAAGCTAAGCTTGTTGCCCTGAATGGAAAGTGTGCCCTCCCCTAGCACCAGGGCTTGGTATAGAGGCAGGCCCATGGCTCACAGCCCTGAGGGGAGTATTAGAGAGTGCCCCCGGGGGTGCAGGAAGCCTAGCAGGACAGGCTGATGACACCCTGGGAACCACTGTACCCAGCTGTGCGTGTGGGCCACTGCAGGACTTCCCATTAAGTCAAGCAACATAGTCTCTCTCTTTCTGTCTCTGTCTGTCTGTCTGTCTGTCTCTCTTTGAGCATATACTGCTGGAGAGAGACAGAGAGAGAGAGAGAGAGAGGGAAAGTGAGAAATCACCCCCTAGAGAGGATGGCCATGCCGCAATCCCTTCTCCTCCATTCTCCTCTCGGGATTTTGGGCAGGCACACTCCCATGCCTGGTGTGATTTTCAGGCCACCAGGTCTGGGGCTTAAACCATGGAATTGGCCCTGTGGGATCCAGTCGCCTCAAACTCCATGCCACCTGATGGCTCCCCACACTCTCTTTTTGTTTAGGTAAGTTCGAGTTGGATTTCTGTAACTTGCCACCAAAAGGGTCCTGGTGAAGACAATATGTCATTTGTAAAGTTTAAATAATCATGATATTCACCAGTCTGTCTTCTATTTCTTCCTTTTCTTAACATTTGGAGTTGTAACAGAAGCTTACTTCAACACTTACAATTTAAATGGCAAATCTGAGTGTAAGACACACTTAGCCTAGAAGCTCATGTCAAACAATTCTTTATTTTTTTATGGTACAAATTAAAAGTGACAGATCTGAAGCTGTTAAGAAATACACAAAGTGCAGCTTTACTGACCATACAGATATTGCTCTAGATTAAGTACAGTTTTTTTTTTTAATTTTTATTATTTATTTTTTTAACATTAAGCAACCTGTGCAGATAAATCAGCTTTGGTTTCAATGTCAGAGCAAGTAAGGAGCTTTTAAACATCCAGTTTGGCTTCTTGGTCACAAGTCTATCGTGTCAACTTCTCGTCATGATGATTTTCCCAAAACAACCCAGTCTGTTCCCTGCCCTCCCTCCTGCTGCCGGCTCCAGGCGCGGAGGAGCAGATCCCGTGGTGGTGCCTCCTAAGTGACCCTGGTGACCAGTCTAGATCACAGCACGTAGGACAAAAAAAATCACTCTCCTAACAACAAATCGACGAATGTGCCTCACGTCATTTCAAGTTGAAGACAAGCAAATCACGTGACAAAAAGCTCATTACAAAATGTTATCCAAACGGATTTTACAGTCGAACATTGAAATGAAAATCAATTTCCTTTTTCTCCATTTTTTTTTTAAGCTTGGTCATTAACTGGGTACAAGTAGAGTGCTGAGGTAAAACATTGATGAGCAGTTTGTATTTCTTTTTTTTCTTAAAATAGGAACAGTTTAGTATTGCGAGATTGTCAGCAACATTTAGCCGTATCTACACGATGTGCATATACCTACAAATATTGAGCTTTGGTCCAGCGCAGAGAAGACGAGCAAAGGCATTTTACGATTTCTTTTTGGTTATAGCTTGAGTTCTTTGATACGCCTCTACTTGTTTTGTTTGTTCATTTTTTTCCTAGCTCCTTTTGCTTTTTTGTTCTCTCTTTTGTGTTGTGTTGTGTGTGTGTGCGCGCATGTGTGTACCGGTGATTACAACCAAAAGAAACCAGAACCTTACAAATGCAATTTAAAGTTTCAACTGTTCAAAATATTTCTTTTTTGGTTGGAAAAGAAGAAAAAGCCCACAAACAAACGTCAAATATAAAATCCACTGTCATTTTTTTTCCCCCACCAAGGGATGACGAAAATGAAGATGACAATAATTTTAAAACGTGAGAAAAATATTGAAGCTCAAAGTACAATCACATCTGCCCAAAGTGGCCTTTATTTCTTGGTGGTAACCTTAACCTTCAGTTCATGGAAACAGAAAAGACACGTCAATACTATGGCATATGAAGTTGTTTACAAGTGGAAATAAGAAACGTCATAATAAAATTAAGCGACAGGTGTGGTCCCGAAGACTTAAGAGTTACGCAGTATAATTTATATTCATAAGAATCTGTTCAGGCACCTTGTTATGCCTTATAGCAAAAAATTTATCTGTAAAAAATTAATATAAGAAGCATTACAACACTTTATAAATAATTTATAAAACAATACAAAATTATAAAACTATAAAAAAAATCACTGCACATGAATGGCTGGATGACTGTGGGATGAATATATTCCTTGTTTGGTTCCACTCCGGAAGATTCCTTTTCTTTTCTGTGTTCACTGTCCTAGTTACACCCTCCCAATTATAGAGGACTGAGCAGCCCTTAGGTAACTGCTGCTGGCAGAGATTTAAACATTTAGCATCCGTCATATGTTATCTTGTTAACTTCTCTTCCTGGGGAGCTTTCCTTGATGGAATTTGGAGCAGGTCCTAGGAGAATACAAAATCTGTTTTAATCAATAAAGTTGTGACTTTCTGGGTTGTTGGTTTTGTGCAGTTTTTGAGGTGGTGGAAAGGGTGCCATGATGTCGGTAGGATCAGGTAAGCTGGGCTCCAATTTAGCATCAGACTGGTGGAAACGAAACACCTTTCTAGGCAGCTAGTTCTGCTTCCAGGATGTCGTTTAGTGTTTCCTCGCCGGACTCCTGATGGCTGCCTGAATCGTGGGGGGGACAATTACGCTGTAGCATTTACACAACAAGCAGAGGAGCCCACAGAAGAAGAAACTCAGACCCCCAGGGGCAGGGAGTGTGCGCGGGCTAGAAGAATGCATTTCTAACCAGTTGGGCAACGCGAGGTGGGGCTTCTCTTTTTCTGTTCACAGTTTACCTCTAGATAGTACAAGAGCACAATCGTCAACCAAGTTTTCACAAGCATTTGCATTCCGGTGGCAAGCAAACCGGTGGGTTTGCCTGCTTTAACGGAACACCTTCTGCCTACGTCTGGGTGGAAGTGCTCGTGGACACTGCCATGCTCACACCTCAGCATGCCCTTCTGGATTACTGGATTACTGTGGGCTGGCACTCTTCTGAGAAAGTTCTTTTTTAAAATGAAATCATTCTCTAGTTCTAATAGTGAAGGTTATTCTGATGGGTTAGGTACACCACGTTTGCATTTTTTTCTTTTGCTGGAGATACCTCATTGTTAAAACTTCCTTTCCCCTTGAGAACCCGGCCCCCAATTTCAGTTGCTTAAATTTGCCTGCCACCTTTCTGATCCACTTGTATATTCCAGGAATAATTGCTCCCCTGGAACCCTGGAAAGTCTGCCATTGCTCCTGGAATGAAAGAAGCAGCAAGCAGAAAAGATGAGGTTAACAGGACGCACAACGGCCTTTAACGATCCAGTCGCTATCACTTTCTTTGTGGCCCGTATCTCTCTCTCTCACTCTCTGTGTGGGTGTGTGCATGCCATGTGTGTATTTTGACGGAAATCTTGAGACATTTCTTTGGCTATCAGACTTCTGAGAGAAATTGCTTTGCACAGAAGCATAACATAGGTGTACGTATTTGATTCAAATGTGCAGCTTATGTTTACATTACAAAATTAGTTTTGGTCAGCTCTCCATGTACGTGGCCAACAGACTGAGAAAAATCCCAAGCTCTGGTGTGGACAGTGAGCACAATGACAGCTTATGCCAGTGTTGACAGTTCATCGAGCAAAGCCCTAGTTATTCTGGAGCCTCTCCTGCATTTCACTGAGATCTGAGTGGAAAAGACACTGCTCCTCCCCACTTCCGTGGCCTTCCAGCAGACGCCAGAGGCCAAGTGCCAGGGAGATGGAGAAACGGAGGCACAAAGAGAAACGCGAGCTCCGTTTTCTTTTCTCAACCCCACGAGTTGTAGTGAGAAGAAAACAACAAATGCTTTGGCACACAATCCAGGATACCCCCACCCCACCCCACCCCCCAAAAAAAAGAAAGAAAGAGAAAGAAAAAGCAAAAGAAAAAAGCCCCCCCCCTAAAAAAAAATCAATAGTGAGCCTCACAGAACGGCTTCAACAATGGCAACCACCCCACAGGGGGGGACGATAAATGGGAAGATGGGAGAAATCAGGCATCCTATTTTTCCATTAGTACAAATGTAAAAATTCGTAACACGACTTTACACGCAGAGCAGAGTAGACGAACGCGCTTGCAATGCCATGTTTCTGACTTTGGTTAGTAGGTTTCAGAGTGAATCAGCACTTAGTACCTGAAAGGATGCAGCTCTCCTCCAGGTGGCAGGCTTGTATTCGCTTTGAAGAGATCAAAGTTTTTGTCTGTTGTTTTTTTTTTTTTTTTTTTTGGTTTTGTTTTGTTTTTCTTTTTCCTTAAAATGTGTTCACATTTTCATAATATACAGAAAAAAGTATGTGGTTATTTGGTTTGCTTTCAGTCCATTAAAAAACTGGCTTTGGGGAGATAGGTCAGGGGCAGGGAACTATCCTACCACACACACCTGCAGTGTGGTGTAGTCCTCGTTTAAAAATTTTCAAAAAATTTTCTTTTTTCTTTTTGGAAAACCAACGGACATGTATAAACCATTTTGTCCACTTGGCAGTTTTCTTAAGTCTTTTTACTTACACGGATAATGATGACTGGGGCTACTTTTTAATTTAATTGAGTTTTGTTCCTTTTTTTCTTTTTGTTTGGTGGAGTCTCAATGGTGAGGTTTAATTTCTGTGGATTCTGTTTCCGATTACGTATGGGCGTCTCTTTAGGAGTTTTCTTCCAGAGAGTCTGTTAAGGGTTCCAGAGGGACCGCTGTGGCCGGCTCGTGCTGTTTTAAGCGTTTAATTGTGTTCTTCAGGGCTTGCCTCTTATTGCAGAACCAAACTCTAACTACTTCCCGGTCATAGTTCAGCTTCTCAGCAATTTCGGTCATTTCCTGCCCAGAGGGGTGTGTGTTCTTCTCAAAGTGGGCATTGAGGATCTCAAGGGCCTGGGGTGTGAAGGAGGTGCGCCTCTTGCGCTTTTTGGACGGTTCACTCCCGATAAACTCGGTCAGGTTCTGCATACCTGCTCGATGGCGGGCCTCAGCCTCAGCCATCCACCGCTCAAGCACCGGCTTGATCTTCTGGGCACTTTTAGGGGTGATGTCCAGCTTTTCAAACCTGGCAGGATACAAAAGGCCAGGGTTCAGTTTGGCTGTCAGACTGCTAGCTATAGTGTTCTCTTGGGCTTCCTGTGGTAGGAAAAAGTGGCTTCTCAGGATGGTGTGTCTGGGGGGAGAATTGAGAAAGAACAGTCTTACACTGAGTCCTCTGCCAGGGTGGGCCTCCTGCCTGCCTGCCTGACTGCCTGGCAGGGCGAATTCACTCCAGATTCACAGCCAGCGGCAAGGTAGCCAGCCCCGCCCAAGCCAGCGCCCGCCCCCCACGTGCTCATGCCAGTGCATGCAAACCACACGCGTGCACACACACGGGGCAGGAGGAAGGGGGCGGGGACACACGAGCCACCACAGCGGGAACACAGACGACTCGCAGGCCTTTTTCCTGTAAACTCTGGGCTCTAAGCTTTCGTTTCCATTGTCCCGGCTCCACTTCCCCCATCCTTGGGATGTTTAAGGCCAAAATTAACATTAGCAAGTGACATCGAAGACAGGAAGGAGTTGCCATCTCTTTCCATTGAAGATGATTCTAACTTTCATGTCTAGTTTTCTTTAATTTTCCCCCATTAACTTGGTTGTGAAAATGTGATAGCTATAGTCACAGTGATGGCAAATGGGACACGGTTCTTTTATGGCTTTTTTTAATCTCTCTTGTGTCTCATTTGAACTTCCCCCACCCCCATAACAAACGATTTTCACCATATGTAAGTTAACAACATGCCCCCTTTCCAGGTACAGCATAGCTGGTTGCCACGTTCCTGTTCTGGCTCAAACAGCTGGACACATTGTAATAACTATGGAACGCCCCACCCCTGGGTGTACTAGGCCACCTCATGCCTTCCAAAGCCATCTGGGTAATGGTGTGCTTTTGCACCAGGGCATCAAGCTGTGTTTAATGTGTGATATCTGCAAACTGCACTTGAATGATATCATTTTCTGTAAATGAGGTCTTCCATGTATCAATTGCCATCAGCAATTCTTTGCTACATTGACTTTAAAAAATATGAACCATCTTGGACAAAATTATATAGAGTGTTTTAAGAGGTCATCCTGCTACCAGATTCATACTCACTCTCAATGAAGTACAAAAAAATACCTATTACTTTTATTTGTTGGTTTGTTTATTGTAATTCTGAATTCCCGATCCTCTAATAGGACATGGAATTCTCCCTCTTCTAAGGTGTTCCATGCTGTTGAAAAACAACATCTGACTGCAGAACGCGACTTATTACAACGCTCTGTTCTCATAGCTGAAATGAACCTGCGTCAGTCAGAGTGTGTCTATAAACATGTTTGCAAAAGGACTGAAAAGAACAGCTTCCTTTATGTGCCATAATATTATTCTTGGCAGTGCACTGTAGATCTCTTACACTGTGACAAGCAGCACACGTAGGATCAAATTTTAATATGATTTCCATAGCATTCTCTTCCACGCAGAGTTTAAGGAGTTATTTATGCTCAAAAACCTAACTTCCAGAACTAGTCGAGGAGGGAAGTTTAAGTACATTTTTTAATGCAAAAATGAATTAATCATTTCAGTCTGTTTTTCCTTTCTTTCTTTTTATTATATTATTATTGCTATTATTTTAGGATTTTGCAATAGGGCACATGTGCTTGTTGGAGAAAGAGAGAGGGAAAGTGGGAAATCACCTCCCCCGGGGGTGGCCATGCTGCAATCCCTTGTTCTCCCGTCACCTCCCAGGATCTTGGGCACGCACACACACGAGCCCAGCATGATTTTGAAGTCACCGGGTCTGGGACCTGAACTGGGGTCAGCCATGTAGGAGCCCAGCGATGTAACTGCTACGCCATCTGCTGGTCCCACAAGAAGGTATTTCGAGAGAGAGGAAGAGAGAGAGACTACATTCACAGAGCTTTTATTACAGTATGTTGTTATACTTTTATTATTAGTTATTGCTGTTTATCTCTCACTGTGCCTAATTTATAAATTAAATTTTATCATAGGTTTGTATGTATAAGAAAAAAAAATAATGTCTAGTGGATTTGGTTCCATCTACTATCCTGGGCTTCGGACACCCATGGCAACCTTGGAACGTGTCCCCCACAGACTAAGGGGGACTATTGTCCTATGGATCCCCAAGGTCTCTTTTCATTTCAGCCCTAGCCTTTTGGCTCCCCCCTAGGAAAGACTTCAGAAATCAACACCCATGATTGGGAATGCCCAATAAATGGAACAAGTAGGAGTTAAAACATTAGATAGCACTTAAATCAATAACAGGAAATCACGTTCGAGGATGGAAAATAAGCCAAAGAGGAATTTCACAACAGCAGCAGATTGGCAACAACTTAAAAACCTGTGGCTGCCTTTATCACAAGGCTGTCAGGATGAAACAAAATTAATGTTTCCCAACAGGGAGCAACAGTATTCATATCATTGATGCTGCTTGTTAGTGTTGATGCTTCCGAACGGGTTGCTTGGAATAACATATACAAGCCTTGAAACAAATTTCCCAGCAGCAGTATCCTTGTATAGACTGAATAAAGGTTATTTTCTACAGGGAGGTATCTTATAAGAAAAAACAGTAGGGGAGGCCATAGAAGTGAGAGGATCCTATGGCGCTTTTTGTATTTAACAACAATCAATGGGTTTTATGGAAAATCATTGAGCAAAATGTGAGCTGCAAGCTCCTACCCCATACTGATGTTATTTATAACCTTAGTCTTAAACTGCAGGAAAAGTACACTTTCGTCCTTTGGGGAATACATTAAAAGTATAAAGAGCAGATAAAAAGACAGCATTTCATGGATCACCAAGAACAAAATCCACTTAAATGAGTTTAGAGTTGGTTTCTTGGCTTTCCCTCCCCCGGGGGTGGCCATGCTGCAATCCCTTGTTCTCCCGTCACCTCCCAGGATCTTGGGCACGCACACACACGAGCCCAGCATGATTTTGAAGTCACCGGGTCTGGGACCTGAACTGGGGTCAGCCATGTAGGAGCCCAGCGATGTAACTGCTACGCCATCTGCTGGTCCCACAAGAAGGTATTTCGAGAGAGAGGAAGAGAGAGAGACTACATTCACAGAGCTTTTATTACAGTATGTTGTTATACTTTTATTATTAGTTATTGCTGTTTATCTCTCACTGTGCCTAATTTATAAATTAAATTTTATCATAGGTTTGTATGTATAAGAAAAAAAAATAATGTCTAGTGGATTTGGTTCCATCTACTATCCTGGGCTTCGGACACCCATGGCAACCTTGGAACGTGTCCCCCACAGACTAAGGGGGACTATTGTCCTATGGATCCCCAAGGTCTCTTTTCATTTCAGCCCTAGCCTTTTGGCTCCCCCCTAGGAAAGACTTCAGAAATCAACACCCATGATTGGGAATGCCCAATAAATGGAACAAGTAGGAGTTAAAACATTAGATAGCACTTAAATCAATAACAGGAAATCACGTTCGAGGATGGAAAATAAGCCAAAGAGGAATTTCACAACAGCAGCAGATTGGCAACAACTTAAAAACCTGTGGCTGCCTTTATCACAAGGCTGTCAGGATGAAACAAAATTAATGTTTCCCAACAGGGAGCAACAGTATTCATATCATTGATGCTGCTTGTTAGTGTTGATGCTTCCGAACGGGTTGCTTGGAATAACATATACAAGCCTTGAAACAAATTTCCCAGCAGCAGTATCCTTGTATAGACTGAATAAAGGTTATTTTCTACAGGGAGGTATCTTATAAGAAAAAACAGTAGGGGAGGCCATAGAAGTGAGAGGATCCTATGGCGCTTTTTGTATTTAACAACAATCAATGGGTTTTATGGAAAATCATTGAGCAAAATGTGAGCTGCAAGCTCCTACCCCATACTGATGTTATTTATAACCTTAGTCTTAAACTGCAGGAAAAGTACACTTTCGTCCTTTGGGGAATACATTAAAAGTATAAAGAGCAGATAAAAAGACAGCATTTCATGGATCACCAAGAACAAAATCCACTTAAATGAGTTTAGAGTTGGTTTCTTGGCTTTCCCTGATGGAGGAGGGCTCATAAGGCATTGCCCAAGAGGAAAAAGCTCTTAGCGGAGTGCCTTTGTTACCTCATGCATATACATGGGATTAGTGCAACACGCACATGCACGTGCGGGGTCCGCCGCCGACTTAACCCGGATCAACTCCACCACCACCAAGGCCGGATTTTGCCGTCGATTTAGTTAATTTCGGGGAATGGGCCAGGTTCGACTGCGTTCTCGCTTAGTTTTGTCTGAATCATTTAAAATAGTGGCTGCTTTTTTGGGAAAAGGTGCTCTTTAAGTTGTGTCTTAAGTCAGAAAATTCCTTCAAGGCCACAAGATGGTTAGTTTCTTCTTTTTTTAAATCTGTATTTTCTTAGAAAATCTTGATAGCCACTTGTGGTCAGAAACCGCAGGGGCATTAGCACAGATTAGCCCTGGCAACTCTATGGCATGGGTTATCCATGGGTGGCAGGAATGGGTAGCTCCCAGGTGCAGGGGAGGCTGGGCCCGGAGGGAAGGCCTCGGGCCGGGGTGGTGCATTTCCAATGAGACCGCCTTGGGAGTTCTTTGCGAGTTGACAGGAGTTAATTAAGCCAGGACCCTCCAATCTGCTGTAGCACCTTTGTCTGCCCCAAGATCACCATTCCCAACCCCCGGCTACCCCAAACTCTGTTCCCACATCTGCCCCTTCAGCATCGCCCACCCGAAGAAGAGAAGCTGAGCCACAAGGACAAAGGAGGCCCAGGCCGGCCAGGGAGGTGGCAGCATGCGGGCGCGGGTTACCTGCAGATGGCCGACTGGCTGTACGCGGGGCCCTCTGTAGCACTGAGGGCCTGTCCCACCTGAGTCTGCGTCAGGCCAAGGGACAGGCGCCGGATTTTAAAAGCTTTGGCAAATTCTCGGATCTCCTCCAGATTAACCCCATCCACCTCACCCGCTGCCGTTTGAGGATCTGTGGAGATGTTTTTAAAAAAATAGGATCAACACGTCAACACACAACCGAGCACCATCTGTTAAGGGCGGTGTTTAAGAGTGGCTCTCAGTAACAGCCGGGCAGGGGAACCCGCAGCATGGCGTGTGCTTTGTCTCCCCGGGGAGGCACCCAAGACCCCACCCTCAACTCCTTACGCCTCCACAAACCATCTTGGAGATGTTTCCGCCCCGGACAAAACCACGGCTCACTCGCACGGCGATGTCTGCCACGCCAGGGCACGTTCTCGGGGCGCGACAGACAAGGCCAGAGAGGGAGGCGCTTGCTCTGGGGACACAGCTCCCTTCTGCCCCTAAGTATGGTCGAACGTGGTGCAAGCACAGGACGAACGGACGTTTCATCTGAAATCTTTAGTATTAAAAGTGCCCTTGAAGGAAAGAGCGTTCTGTGTTTTTCCTTCTGATCTCCAAGGGGGCCAGGGACACGAGGACAAGGTTGACAGTGTCGCCTCATTTTCTGCGTTCCTCTTAGCCCCTCAGAAGAGCACGCTGATGAAGCTGCAGGGTAACACTGTCTTTGTCCCTCCTAGCCCTTTACGAAGCCGATGTCTTTGTCCCCTGAAAGGGCACGGAATGTAAAATGCCCACCACAGGCAGGCTCCTTTGTGCGGTGCCTCGGTCAATTTAGGACTCAGCCTGGGAAATGACAGGGCAGCTGGAGAGGGAAACTTCCCCCGGCTGCGGATCCCTGGGCAAATGAAAGCGCTGGCCAAGCCAGAGACAGCGTGGGACGGTGGCGAGGATTCCAAAGTGCTGCTCCTGGAGAAGCCGTTCTCCCTGCCTCTGGGCTACTCCTCACCTCTCTCCGCAGACTTGGGTGCAGTTTCTCTGTCCCTCCTTCCTATCGGTTTCAGCCAGTCCCAGTACTTGCCCAAGAACTATGTTGGACTGTATTACCTTTCTGGGTTTGGACATTTAGAAACTCTAGTTGTGATGAAAGAAATAAACATTTGCATCCCAGGTGCCAATTTTTTTTTAAAGAATTATTTTATTTAACTTTTAAAAAAAATCCATTTTCCAATTTGACGAGAGAGAGAGAGAGAGAGAGAGAGAGAAGAGAAGAGAAGAGAAGAGAAGAGAAGAGAAGAGAGAGAAGTGTGAAAGCAAGCTGCGAGGTCCAGAACATGAACCGCGGTCAGTCATGTGGGAGTCCAGCGCTGTTAACCACCACCCCACCTGCCAGCCCCCCAGGTGCCAATTTTATAAGGCCCCCCCCTTTTTTTTTTTTTTTTTTAGATTTTTGCTATAGGGCCCATGCACCTGCCAGAGAGACAGAGAGGAAAGGCTTTTGCTATTGGGTGCAGTGTGCTTGCCAGAGAGACAGAGAGAGACAGAGAGACAGAAGGCAAGAAATCACCCCCGGAGGGAGGATGGCCACACACAATCCCTTTTCCCCATTCTCCTCTTCTGAGTTTCAAGTCACCGGGTCTGGGACTCAAACTGGGGTCAACTACGTGGGAGTCCAGTGACATAGCATCATGCCATCTGCGGCTCCCTTTTCAAGGACTTTCAACTAAGGAGGAGGCTTGCAGCTTCATATATGGACTTATCTCGTGCCTGAGAGGAATCTGCCCAAGGAGGTGGACCCGGCCAGCAGCGTACAGCCTGCAGTACCGCCCTCTTCACGTGAGGAGCCCCCGTGCACCTGTACAGCTCTTACATGCTGGCAGTCATAATCTCGCCACGGGAGGGCTGGAGAGCGGTGCACACACTGCCATCAGCCCACACTCCGTTTTGTTTTAGGTTTTCGCCATAGGGCACGTGTACTCGCTAAAGAGAGAGAAATGAGAAATCCCCCCCCCCCCCCCCCCCCGTCACGCAGGGGGATGGCCGTGCTGTAATCCCTTTTCCATTCTCCCCTTGGGAATCAGAAATACACACGCATGCACCTGGCGTGATGTTCAAGCTACCGGTTCCAGGACTTAAACGGCAGTTGGTCACATAGGAGTCCAGCACCTTAAAACCATGCCATCCGCTGACATCAATCTATACATTTTTAAAAAATTATTATTTTTTTTTCTTGGAGAGGTTTTTGCTGTAGGGCACGTGCGCTCGCCAGACAGACAGAGACATAGAGACAGAAAGCGAGAAATCACCCCCCAAGGGGGATGGTCATGCCGCAATCCCTTCTCCTCCGTTCTCCTCTGGGGATCTTGGGCATGCATGCACACGCGCCCGGCATGAATTCTAAGCCACCGGGTCTGGGACGCGAACCACGGTCGACTACATGGGAGTCCAGCGACATAGCCATTACGCTAACTGCTGGTTCCCAATCTATACATTTTTAAAGTGACTCCTAGGAGGGAGAGGGCAGGAGAAATTGCGGAACGGTTCTCGCCTACGTGGAGTTTACAGACCGTGGGAGTGTGGGGTCCGCAGTAATGCTAAGACACAGAGGAGAACACCAAGAGAGTATACTGATGACACAGTGCCCACACTGGGTGTGCGGAGAAGGCGAGGGGCCGGGGAGACTTCCTCTGGGGCTTACCCAACCGAGGGGTCACATTCTGGCCTGGGAGAGCAGAGCACAGGTTCACAGATAGCGGGGAAGCAGGGGCTGTGGGCGCTCCGGGGTTGGCAGGTGAGTGGGAGCCCGTGCTAGGAGCGGAGCGCTTCAGTATGGCACATTAATCCGTGCTCACAGCTGGGCTGGGTCACTATCAAATTGGTTTGGCTGTTAAATAAATTAAAATCCTGGGACCAGCAGGTGGCGTAGTGGTTACGTCACTGGACTCCTATGTGGCTGACTGTGGTTGGAGTCCCAGACCTGGTGGCTTGAAAATCACACTGGGCCCATGTGCTTGCATGCCCAGGGGCCCCAGAGAATGGAAGAGAGGGGACTGTGGGGTGGCCATCCCCCCAGGGAGTGATTTCTCACTTTCCCTCTCACTGTCTCTGTCTCTGTCTCTCCTCTCTGGGAGCACACATGCCTATGGCAAAACCTTGAAAAAGAAAAAAAAAAGAATTAAAATTCTGCATTTTCTCCCACAACTCTTGTCTCCCCACAAGAAAGCCGGCCACACTTGTTTAGGAAAGGCCTGTCTGGCTCAGCTGTGGTGGAGGCTGCCCTCTGGATCTTAAGTTCCTCCAGCACAGCCTGGAGCAGCACCAAGGGGCTGCTAAGGATCCTGGGAGAGACACAGCCACGCACAGAGCAGCCTCGAGCCCCGGTTCAGATTCCTTCGCCCAGGACATTAGAGTAGCAGTGGTGATGAGCAGAGTGCAGAGAACACCCCGCTCCCCCGGTGCTTACATTTTTTTTTTAAATTACTAGATTTTCCAAGTTTGTTTGGAAACGTTAGAGGATTTGGCTACACAGGGTCTATGCTGCACTTGGTGGCACTCCGCTGACATGGGGGAGGGGACCTCTCTGCAGGTCACAGGGCAGAGGGCTTTGGCCGTCTGGCAAGGGTGGCCAGAGGAGGTTCAACACTGAGAAAAACAGAAACTAGGGACTTCCCTTGCAACAACACAGCGTTTAGGACAGTGGGTGGGGCCCAGGAACGTGACTTTTCGTTTTTGTTTGTTTGTTTGTTTTTAGACTTTTGTCACAGGGTCCATGCACTTGCCAGAGAGAGGGACAGAGAGAGAGGGAAGGTGAGAAATCACTCCATTCCTCCCCCCCAGTCCCCCTGCAGTGGGTGGGCCATGCCAAAATCCCTTCTCCATTCTCCTCTCTGGACTTTGGGCACAAAGGCACACGCGCCTGGTGTGTTTTTCAAGCTGCTGGGTCTGGGATTCAAACTGCAGTCAGCTAGGTGGGAATCCAGCGCCTTAACCACCATGCCACCTGCTGCCCTGCGGTGTGCCTTTCTAACAAGTACCCCAGGCTGTTCTGATGCACTGACTGACACCAGGTACAGAGAGCTTTCTCTGTGGCTCTGTCTTAAGCTGGTGGTGGTGTCCTCTGGCTGCCATTGTCTTTCTTCGTCCTCTACTATGCAGATTTCACTACAAGGAAAGCCTGCTGTCTCACCTGGGAAGGACTCAGGTGCCAGACGCACCCAGAGCGGGGACTCCTGGGCAGGCACCTGGTCCTGGCTCATGCCGCACCCCCACTCCACCCAGACGGTGCATGGCAAAGGCCTGAGAGCAGCCTGGGTGCACCAGTGAGGCTGAGGAGAGACGTTTCCTCTGAGCAAAGCTCAGTAGCCCTGAGGGAAGTACTTTGTCCTCTTTCATATGCCCTCCTTAGATCAGCTTGAATAGTTAGCCAGCGGTGAGGGCAAGGTCTCCAGTCTGGAAGGACTCTCAGGGCCTACGGTTCTGGGGCTTGTGCTGCCACCACTTGGCACTGAGCGGCCCAGGACTGGGTCGGCAGCTTCAGGTCGGTGGCCCTGCGGTCTTCCTCCCCTCCCCGCCTTGACGGCATGTGTCCCCTGCCAGTTCCTTGAGAGCTGGAACGGCGTCTGCTGCGTGACTGTGCAGGCGGCTCTCTGCCAGGTCTCTCCATCGCCAGAGCTGGGGAGAGCCGCGACCCACAGCTCCCGTGCACCCACAGTGCTCTGTGGTCCCCCGACCTTCCCCTCCAGCCTCACAGAGAAGGGTGCCTGGGACATGGGGCCCAAGGTCTCCCAAGAGGCCCCACACAGACGTCTTCACACCAGGAAGTCGAATTCCTTCTACCTCTCACATATGTCCCACTCTGACCCTTCTTCCTGGTTCTACACAGGGTGATACACACAGAATTCTCGTGGAAAGGCCCAGGAAGGGGGACTCAGCGACTCTTCATGCAATTTGCTGATCACTGGAGGACAGCTGTCAGCTTGGTGTATGAGAACATGCTAGTGTTCTTATCCAGAACATTCAGGTGGCCAGATGTCTGGTTATGGTTTGCTCCACAGGTTTTAAGACTACAGAAGTCTCCCCATCCAAAGAAGGGCCCACTTGAGACAATTATTAGCTTTACTCTGTTTACAACGTGTGAGACTTATCTTCACCCAGTGGGAAAATTCAGTAGATGGTATCGGTAAGATGCTCTGAATAGTAATTCAAAAGACTAATGCTATTATTCTTTATCCCAAAGTTTCTTATGTTTTAAGGATGTTTCACTGGCGAGTGTGACAAATGGAGGCTTCCCTGGAATGTCACTTTAACTTAGAGTTTGACATTCTACCCTGGTATAGGTCAACCTGGCTTCCTGCCATCCGTTCTCCTGGCTCTGGGGAGGTTGATTTTTTAAAAAAATATTTATTTATTTATTCATTTATTTTAATTTGACCAGAGAGAGAACACACACACACACACACACACACACACACACACACACACAGAGAGAGAGAGAGAGAGAGAGAGAGAGAGAGAGAGA